TAAAAGGTGATTTAATTTCAAAGTTTTTTCATCCTCTATTCCTATTAATGATCGGTAGAACATTGGAGAGAATTGTCGAAGTTAAGGAACAAAATGAGACAACATATTTAATTGAAAGTTGAAAGCAGATAAGTGAAAGGTGATTTCGATCCTTGCGATTTTATAACAATTTGAATTTGAGGATATGGGGATTGAAGCATGAGAAATGCACGCGAAAGGCGACTGATACAATTGAGATGCTCAATATCTTTAATTTCTACGCAGCCGAATCGCTCTGATGAGCAAATCGCTTTCGAANTTCATGGCACATTGAAAATAGTTTTGATCTTAACAATCCATCTTGCGCTTACTTAAAGACAGCATTCAGATTGTATTTCAAGTTTACTTGAACGATTCATATGGTTCATTCATAGGCTTCCCATGTTTTCTTACGAAGATCGCATGCAACGGATGGATAGTCACTTTTCTCATTTATTGTTAGTTCAGCCGCATCATTGTTTCGCTTTCCTTCGTAATATCTCCGAGGAATGTGTAGTGTGCTAGATTTAAATCTCAGCACAACTGAACATTAAACAAGCAAATTGGCACAACGCGATCAAGTTGTTCATCGAACAGGATATCGCATGTAGCGCTGATGCTTTAACTTATGAGTTGCTATGAAAATTTTTTTGCGAGGTATTATTCATATTTGCGAGGTATTATTTCCGCGAGTTTTTGTGTTCATGTTGTGACGATTATTTTGCAGTGTAAAAATCTTCTGAAACGTTACTATTAGAGAACAGATTTGCACGGTCGCAACAGGTGCGCTGATAGTTCAAACTGATTGCGAGGTGAATTTTGCTGAATTCCGACCCCATATCATACGTCCGTCCTGTTTTGTGCGATTGTCTTTTCGCAGTTCAAGATGGTATGATATTCAGCTCAACATTTAGTATTTCAGGTGCCTTGCACTAAATCATTAAAATGGCACAACAGCAAAACGATGAAGTGAATGCCGGTCAAGAACACCTGCTGGAGTTGAAGATGGAGAACGCGCGTGACTTGCATCCTATCATAAAGGCGCTTATGTTTCGTGAGGTTTGTTTCTCTCTGACTGTTCATATCGAAAATTTTCAACAGCGTTGTGGAATTTTCGAACGAGACTTTACAGCGGTGTATAGTAAAAGAAAAAAGCACAACTGTATGAAGGAACATTCATTCGCAGTATTCGAATTTCGGCGAGCAAATTCTTTCATATCCATTCACTCAATTCGGAGAGCAAACGATTAGTTTGAGGAACTTTGGAGAGCGAGGGAACTGTTTACGAAATTTTTGAGGGCAATGGAATTATTCCTCTTCTGTTGCCACTTACGTGTTCGCAACAAATCAAAATTTTTAAACACATTTCTTGTTCCAGATGCTGCTCACTATTAGTCAAACAAAATTTGAATATTTTCAGAATGGAACAATCGACGTGACAAGCTCCGGTTTGCGTGTTATCGTTGACGACCAGAACTGTTTACAGGCAATTGCTTACATCAAATCTGAACTGTTCAGCAGTTTCATCTTACGTGAGCCAAGTCTCACGTTTCGAATTCCGATCGGCATATTAGGGGTTCGAGAATATTTTTGGTTTTTGAATTTCACCGGTGATCCAATCATTCCAATGCACTCTTCGCTTCGCTGTTCCATTTATCTAGAATGGATTTCGGCTATAAAGTTTTTTGAGTTCACTGCATTCACATAAATAGATGAGTATACCAAATGTTCACTCAGATTTACCTCCTCAAGCGCATCTGATTATGAAAATTGGAAATATTCGTGAGCAGATCCGAGCTGTTTCATGAGTGAATTGTTTCGGAGTGATGTGTCGTTTTAGCGTTTTAGGAAGCGTTAAGCGTGTTCGGAGCCGGTGTCAGTACTGCTCTAAAAATGACTTACAATGGGTATGGAGAGCCGTTGAAAGTAATGTTGGAAAAGGATGGTATTGTTGTGAGATGTGTTATACGAACACAAAATCCAGATGCGGTTAGATATGAATTTGTTTTTGAGCTTCAATATCCACAGTTTTTCGTTGAGGAGATGAAAGATTTCATTGTGCAGTGGTTGAGATGTGACTGATTCATTATTATAAATAAATGTGGTTGTGCACTGATGTGGAATTTTGCGATAAGGGAACAATATTGGAATGATTGAGTAACGAGATTTATGGCTAGGGAACAGTTTAAAGGTGATTCGGAATATTTCAGATATTGGATTTTGATTTTGATTCGTCACGAATTCCAACGAAAATAATCATGAAACCACAGAAGCTGAAAGAAACATTTCACGAATTCGATCCAACCAGTTCAACCGTGGCAATTAAAGTGAATCGACGGCTGCTGTGCCTTTCGACTGAAGGTGATCTGGGCAAAATTAAGGTGTTTTCATTAATTGTAGAAGAGTATCACTGCCCTTCCTCTAAAACTTGTCATTACCCGTATTAGCGTTGTCTTTTGTATCACCGATTTGACGATATTTATTTCAGCATTTTTAACTGCTGACAGCCCCATTAGTGAACATGTTTTGCAGACTGAGTTTCCGCAGCATTCCGAACAGATTGAAAGGCTCGAATGTGCAGAGGAAGTTGAATATAGTTATCGTTTGACTTTAATTAAACGAATGACTCAATCTTTGAATATTTGTCATAAGGTTTTATTTTATTTCTTGCCTTTGAAGTTTATCTTCACATTTCATTCTACTGACGTTATATTGAATGGCTTTCTGTAATAAGCACACATTTTTTTGCGAGGAAGTTGACGACTTTTGAGAATTTTCAGGTGTCGATCCGTATCGATAACCGTGGTATTTTTTCAATACAATTTATGATCGAACAGCCTGACAATAATCACGTTTTCATTGAATTTTTCGTCAGTTTTCTTTTCTTTTTTTGGACTTTCAAGACTTTTTAACAAAGTATTTTTTGTCTGCCAGATTTTCATGCATCATCATGATTTCATATGGATGTTTATTACTGCAAACGGGGAACCTAATCTCCTCACTGAACATTGGTAAAATTCATCATTCTGATTGCGTTGTTCTGATACACATAAACGGTTTGATGTCGAGCAGTGAACTGATTACGGCTGCATTTGTAGTGTGTACCCGATGCGGATGAAAACGATGATACAGTATTGAATGAGAGTGCTTGATCACCTCACTGTATATATTTGTTTGGCCCGGGTGGAAGGAACCACTCGGACGCTGAGAGTTGTCGATCAGTTGATTTTATGAATTCAGCAAACATCCCAGTGATTATCAGATTGCGGCGTTTCCTTTATGATGTATCCACTTCACTTTGCACTCTTTCACTTTCATACTGTTTATCGAGCATTCACCAGATTTTAGTGTAACACAACGATATAAATATTTGTTCAGAAACATTAGCTGAAAAGTCAATGTTTTGCATAAATATTGATACGTTTCTGTATCGTCGCAATCCAACGTGAATTACGATAGTAACCATTGATGTTGTTGTTTTTATCACCGAGGGTTTGTGATAATATAAGTACAAATATATTTGAAGCAATATGTAACAGTGGTCATCACGCTATCGAGATCCATTTTCTCCCTTTGACCGTATAATAGACCACCGTTGTTCCTCCAGTAATTTGTAAGTAACCACAATCTCGCCGTATTCGAGAATCTGTTGAATCTTGGTGAAAACAGTGAAAAAAAATCAAAGAAAGATCAGTAATTCGTTCATTACATCGAGCGAATCATTCCTTTGTGATCAAACAAGCATTTTGAAAAGATCACTGAATAAGTATGGAACAAATTTGGAGAAAAATTTGAAATCAATTGATGAATCTTCGCAATTCCTCGGTTGGCATTCTCGAATTCTGTCACGGAAGAATTTTCCTCCCGTAAGAAACACTGATCTGCACGAATGTTCTTTAAGTTGATTTACCATTGATCCTTTGTATTATTAGTTCATACGTGTATTGTTATGTATTGTTTATATTGTTGAGTGTTCGACATTTCTTCACTTAAACATGTTCCATTCATTATTTAATCAAATCACATTATCACCTGATGTAATTATATTTTGCAGTGCAGCAAGTCCGTGATTTGCGACTGTTATGAAGCGTTATGTTGTGATTGTTTTTTGTTGACTTTTGAATTGTGCTCTCCGGTGATGCAAGTTTTTCTAAAATCTCACTTCTCATTCGAAATGGAGCAAGTTTCCGATGATGACAATTTGCAAACGTAAAAGATGTAAGTGGATTGCGAGGAAATTCTTCTCCAAATGAAAGAAATTCTCTTCTGAAGAGGAAATCATATCAATTATGAATGGAATGAGAATGGGATATTTTAGTGTGATGTAAGGCTAGGCCTAATTTTGACATATGCACATCACTGCGTGATTATTTGATAATGCTGTTGTTACTACATTTTATGGTCGCTACTTTTGTACAGTGTTATAACCATTGTAATTTTGACGAACCTTCTTGTGGATCTCATTGATTGTGGAAATATACTTTAATTTTAAAAAATTGATCAGTTCTTACGAAAAATAGTTTTAGTCGTTCTGTTTTGAGAACCGGACATGCTGAAAACACTTGCGGGATATATTGGAACTATAAAGTGCTGTTTAGTAAAGCATCATAACCAGCAGCAAAGGTGCTCGCAAAAAATTTATGAACGATGAAATTCTGAGAATAATATTACAACATGATTCACAGTAGTGAGATTGTGTATGTGGAAATGGAGTTCATGTTAAAATCTGTCGAGCGAAAGGGGAAACGCGAGTGAAAAAATCAATATTGGTATAAATCTTGCCGTAAACAGACCATTAAAATTGGTCTGTTTAATAGAACATCGAAGCTGGTGTAATCTCAAATGCGAGAAGAGTTTTCATTGGAATGTGCAAAAAGACTATATTTTTTAAATGTAAGATCTGCGGTTGTCTCAAAGTTACGAAATATGAGAAATGAAAAATAACACATTCAGTGTCACCATGATATCTGTTTTGAAGAATATTCGAGTCGTTCTTTAAGACTGATGTTGTAAGGGAGCAAGCATACGAACGTACCGTAGTTTTACAAGTAGACTGGTTTTGCAGTTACAATATATCATGCTATGTCAATAATAAACGAAGAAAAATTTGAGCACAAAAAATGAAATCAGACGATGAATAATGAAATGAGAATCATAAAAAACAAAATATGTAATAATTTTAGCAATTCATTAATTCTAATTCTATTTGATTCATATTCATATAAGATGGATGTACCACATCGTTGAAGAGTCGATGAATGATATGCAATTGAGAATAAGATAAATTGATGGTGATTCGGAACCGAAAGGCTTCAAAGGATCGGAACAGCAAAAGACATGGAAGAATCAACTTGAGGTCCTCACTCTGTTTTCGTTCAAAATCTGTGACAATGTTTTTTTAGGTTGACATCAAATGAACGTGAAAAGGCAATAAAGGACCGAATAAAATAAACGAGAAGGGCGATGCAATAATTCATTTAATGTATTCATATGAATTCGGCACATAATTTCTGTATATTGATGATGTGATTTGAAGAAATTAATGAAATACACTGAAAGAAATGGAAGAATTGCGGAGATTCGTCCTTAGTTATGCCTATCAGCACTTGTAATGATGTAATTGATCCGAATCAAACGAAACATTATACTTCGTTATTTTGATGACGTTCGAAACATGTGTTATATGTATGAATAATGAGAGCAAACGATTTGTTGATAATTACTTCGATAAAACACTTTGTTTGTGCGGTTGAATTTGATTGCTTAAAATCAGTGATCATTACATGATGACGGTCGTTAAGGAAAACGATCGTGATCGCACTTGACGCAATTATAAGCGAGGATCGAAGCTATTATGACACCGTATTATGGGCGAGTTATTATTAGTGAAAACATACTTAAACGTTTATCGTTGGTAATGATATAAGGCTCGAGCGACGTTAGTAAATGCCATTTCGTCTCTTATCCTAGCCGTTTTCTGCTTGTGATTTATTGAAGTATTCCTTGTCTCTCCGTAGTTCGGATCTTGACGTGTCCAGAAATAATTGTTTGAAATTTTTTTTGGAAAAACTTAAAAGTCCCTGTTGTATTGGTTCAAACAGATCGTGTTATTTTAGCTGTTTATCATAAAAAGTAATTGACATTCTGATGGTTATCGTACTTGAAAGTACCTGAAAGGTAATCTGCGAAAGTTGTCTTTGTTGCTGTTTTTGTGAATTTTCGAAAGCTAAAATTTCATAGTACTTATCGGCTGAAGTCATTCAGTGGGATTTTGCTAATTGATGAGTATTAATGAATGAGTATTAATGAATGCTAATTGAATGAGTATTTTCATAGGAATAAAACTCACCATAAACGTGTTCATTTTAAACTTCTGATCTCCAAATGGATTTTTAAATTATGAAAACGTCTCCAGATTTCCTGTTTGTAGTCCTATCTGCAAACACCATTTGTTTGTAGCGATGATGTTAACCAACCGAGTTCGGTCGATATAATCTGATGAAGTTCAGTCGGATTCCAACTGAATAATTATGAGATTCGGTCGGAATATCGTACTTCGGAATCTCAAAAAATGAAGCGGTCTGATTCCGACCGACAACTTTGAAAGTCGATCGGAATACCGAATTTCGGAATCTCAAAAAGTTAACTCGGTCGCATTCCGGCCGATCGCAAATTCCACCATTAGTTCAATGAGCAATTCGCTCATTCAACGCATACTCATTGAATTATTATTTGTTGAAGTGCAGCGGAATTGGCAATGAAAAGTTGAAATGTCTGAATATGTTTCCAGAATTAGGATGCGATCTTTTGGATGAGGTGAGAAAAGATCTCACTCGCTAAAAGTAATCATTTACAGATTCAAGAGAATGTGGACAAACATTCTAATTCCAACGATCTTTATGTTGGTCGCTCTACCAGCCGTTGTACTGAATACCATCGTAATGTACGTCTTACTAACTGGTCAATTCATTCAGCGAAAAACGTTCCAAGGAGTCTTCGTCATTAGTTTATCAGAGTTGTTATCGGATACGATATTCTTGCTTACGTTCCTTATAGGTGGAGTACCACTGTTCTATGCGCAGGTGAGCGTTGAATAGTGCATTGGCTCTTTTTATCATATAGGCACATGGGTGAGCGTTTAAAGGAGGTGAGTGCATTTTGGGATGAAGAATCAGTGCATATAATGACGATTAAAGCGTGATCAGATTATCAGTCATTAGATGTAGAATTGAGATGGTTTTTGGGCATTATTATTCAATGAGCACAATCTCTGAAGCTGCTTCAGGCTATGGTTCTACCGATATCGTTTAGTAGAGTAATCGGTCATATAGCTGGTATCACATGGCTTGTTTCATGCTTAACGAAGGCTTCAATGGCGTTAAACAGGTTTAGTTCATTTCATTCCCAGTTCATTTTTCTAGCCAAACAATAATTTGTTTCATATCGTTCCAACTGTTCACAACCTAACATAAGTCTCAAGTATCAGAAGAATTTGTTCTTTGCAAATTCTCAAACTTATTGTTGCGGAAATGAAACCAAACTACGTGTGCAAATCAAGTTTGAATGCTATAATCTCATTGGAGAAAGTTCGAAGGAGAAAAACGTTTTCAATCCTTGAATCATATATTTTCTGTTAGTGGGCATTATCCGACTGTTCCTGGCTGTTCTTCATGATTGATATGATTCTGTCTGATTTTCATGCTAGCTTAGAAAAAAGCTTATGTGGAGCAGGAATATCACTTGTTAAAACGCTGGATCCTTTAAATGAAAGTATAATGTAACAAATACTACTGTAATATTCGTAGACCGTACGAGAACTAATACAATAAAGTGCAGCACAATGTTACGTGTGTAATGAATTCTAACTTGTGACACAAAAGATCAATACGCTCGGTTTCGAGTAAAACATTCCTCCGCAAATGTGATTCGAACCCGCGACGTACCAATCACCGGTTGGGGCTCTATCTATGAGCTATCGCGG